CCTTATGGTGGTGAGGGTGATGTCCCTCTGGAGGGAGCTTCACCTCGGGCTGCAGCGCTAGCCCCTGCCTGAGAGCCCAGCTAGGGCCACATGGCCCAGGCCACACAACAGGTCCTTCACAAGGAACATCACGGTGACGTGCGTCCCACTGTGCCTCACACAAGTGGCCCGGAGCTCTCATACTCTGCCGGCCAGAGGCAGAGGATCCTAAGGCCCATGAGAGGGCAGGCCCCGTGGTGGAAGGGCCTGGGCCCCAGCAGCATGTGGAGCAAAGCACAGCCGTCCAGGAGACGCCACGCTGGTGGTTACCAGGCAGGAAGAAACATGCAGCTGTGGGCTTACTTGTTACAGCAGCTGACGTGTGCTGCCTGATACGCACCAGGACAACCGCTGGTGGAGTAAGGCACGTGCCAACACAGAGAGCAAGTGCGTCCTGCTCTGAGGAGCCGGCGCTCAGGGGCCCGGGAGGAACCCAGGCACAGCACTAGCTGGCAGCTCCGGAGCTCCGCCTTCCGGGGGGCACCCTCGATGGCACAGCGACAGGGTCACATGCTGCTCCTTGCTGCCAACCCACGGGTTGCCGTGTGCAGAGACGGGTGTTTTACACAGGGCACTGCTCTCTCTCAGGCATGGAGAAGATGAAATCTACGGGCAGGCTCTTCCCCGGGCCCCTGAACAGGTCATCTTGGGCCTTTAGGTTTCAGACAAGGGAATCCACCAGGGCTGCCGAACAACCGCGCCGGGGGACAAACTCAGGCAGCTGACCTGGGAACGGACCCGGTCTCTCTCCACCCACCCATGGTGGCAGGTGGACATAAGATTAGAGGCGGTCAGGCCCTGGTCACTACGCTAGCCACTCTGTGAGGGAGGCTGCCCAGACCCACACAGGGCTGAGCGCAGCGTCAGCAGTTACGAAAAAGTCACAGCGCAGCGCCATGTCCCCCGCCCGCGTCCTCCACTGCCGAGACGGGGCTGCGGTGCCACATGGTCAGAAGGGATGATGCGCAGGGAACCCTGAGACCCACCAGGTGTCACAAACACCTGCTTCCCAGGAAATCGGAGCAGCCGGGAGGGTGAGCCCTCACCTCCCGCTGTCCACGGAACCCAGCGGACCCTGCGGAATTCAACCCACTCGCCACGCAGGGCCTCGCTCACATTACAGATGGTGCCCAGCTGCTGACCACTGTCACTAGGCGGGAAGAATGCAGCTGTCCTGCCTCGGGCAGAGGCCCTGCCCGGCCACATCCTCACGGGCTCCTGGTGCCCACTCATTCACCCTGGTTCAGGGTTCCTGGGCACCGGGCGGCTCACTTTCCACGTACAAAGCCCCGTGGTGGCCTGCACTGAGGGCAGCGCTCCCCAGGGCCTGCACAGGCCAGCCTCGTGGAAGGACGCAGCCAGGTGGGAACGTGGAAGGGGCCCTGTACCACCTTTGGGCTATTTGTAGGTCTGCCAAATTCCAGTGTCAAAAAAAGCCACCCAAAGCACTGACCAGGAAAGAAAAGAGTCGGAAAAACTGGACTTTAAAACTCAAAACTTCCACTCTTTGAAGGAGACATTAGGAAACCAAAGGCGAACCGCGGATGGGAAGGTACCAGCAGCTTGTCTCTGACAAAGGACTGAGACGCAGAAGATGAACAAGAGCACTACAGACCAGGACGAGACGGAGACACCCAGTCACAGATGGATAGGCACTCCCCAGACTGCCCAGACGAGGTCACACTGTGGCAAACCAGCTTCACACCACACTCAGCGACAATGGTCATCAGAAAACGCATGTGACACCCACAGTAAGATGCCACTTCCCACCATCAGAATGGCTGACGTTAGAGACTGACGTGCCCATGGTGGATGACAGGCGAAGCAGCCGGAGCTCCTGCAGCCCGAGCATGCACCAGGCGGCATAGTGGCTTGGAGGACCGTGTGGCAGTGTCCTGTGAGGTTGAGCATGCTCTGCCCCAGCCACTGTGCTCCTAGAGAGGTGGATCCCCTTGTCCATAGAAAGATGTGCACAAAATCATTCTGCAGCTCTGCTCGACATTAGGTAAATGCCAGTGTCCATTACCAGGAGGGCGAACGCACACGCTGCGGGACTCGGCAGTGAACAAGCAGACGACCGGGGCCCGCGACCGGGGGGCCGAGTACCCAGCACTGGGCTGAGTGGAAGAAGCCAGGCCCACATGTACAGCTGTGGGGTGCCATCTGGTGACCTCCAGCAAGAGGCAGCACTCTGTGGTGGCAGGGTCCAGGGAGCTGCCCAGGAGGACGTGGAACATGGCTGGCCACACCTGGGTGGGGACACCGCACCCCCCGGCCGCTGGAGGCACAGACAGTTGTCCAAGCACACAGAGCCTCTGCACAGTGTGCTCTTACTGTATGCAGTCACACTAAGTCACCAAAAGACGGTGACAGTCCACAGGCTCAGCAGCCGGGGCCAGCAGCACCCGAGCCGCCGGCAGGCCTCCTGCCCGCCTCGCGTCCAGCTCAGACTCCAGCTCCTGTGGGCGCTGTGCTGTGCCCTCACCCACCCAGGGCCAGCCTGCTGTGGGACGGAGGCCCTCCACCATGGACGGCTGCCCGTCCAGGTGCCGCAGTGGCACGGCCCCACCCCAGGCTGCTCAGGTCCTACCCGGCACCGGCACCTTAGGGCACCAGGGCACCGAGGTTGCCAGTGGAATTGCAGCTGCTGATCGGGTCGCCCGGACCTGGACTGTCTGGGTGCCCCCTGATGTCCAGTCCTCCTAGGGAAAGACCAGGAGGGTCCAGGAGGTGCAGCTAGACACGAACCCCAACCCTCAACCGCTGGCCTCGGGGGCGAGCACGGGCTGCCCAGGAACGCCACGCTGGGCAGACGGGCCGGCGAGGACTGCCCCCCGCTCCGCGCAGGGAACTCGCTGGCGGTGGCCGGGGAGGCGGCAGCGAGGAGGACTCCGTGCCAGGCAGGGAGTGGGGCCTGGCCCCTAAGTACAGCGAGGACGTGTGCCCACCTGTCTGGCTCTCAAGCCCCAGCAAGGTGGCCGGGCCGGGGCACATGGGACATGGGTGGTGGGAACACGCAAGGCACCTCTGTTCCACCACCGCCCACCGCCAGTCGGGATCCGTGTGATCTGCCTCCCCAAGTGGCCAGCTGGGACGGCGTGAGGGGTCCTGGAGCCGGCCTCTGCCAGGCAGAGGACACTGCTCCCTTAAGGACAAGTCCTGCCCTGCGAGAGCAGGAGGGCCCTTCCGGGAGCCCCCAGGGTGTGCCAGCCTGTGTGCCGCCCTGTCCCCACCCCACAGTAATCACTGACCAAGCAGCCGACCCCGGGCCCGGCTCGGGAGAACACCAGCCCCAGGCTCCACTCCACAGGGCTAGGAACAGCCCCAGGCTCCCACCTGGGGACACGGCCACCCGGATAGTCCAGGTCCAGGTGGTGGAAGGCCCAGCAGCGACTGGGGAGGCGGCAGTCCCCTGCCCTTTCCTGACCACTCACCAGAGGCCAGTGATCTCCAGAGGATGGGGAGAGTGGGAGGGCCAGGACCCCCCCGCGTGGCCCTCCAGGGCTGCCCGCCCAGGGGTGGCACAGCCAGCGGCACCCAGTGGCACACCAGCGTCTTTCCAGGAAAAGCACAGAAGGGTGGCCCAGGGTGGCCGAGGTCCTCGAGGACAGACAGGCTGTGAGCCCGCTAGGGGGTGGGAGAGAGCAGGGGTAAGAGGTGGGGCAGGGGAGGACCGCACCGGCCAGGAGGTGCAGCTGGCTCTGGGGCTCAGCGTGTCCATCACTGCGTCCAGCAAAACCCTTGGCTGCTGCCTGCTGGCCACAACCCCTGGCCACCCTCCCAGCAGAGCATGCTCCTCTTCTCTCTTGTAAGGTCCGGTTGGCCGGGTCTCGCCCTGACCCCCACAGCCTGGTCTTGGGTGTGCACTGAGCAGCCTCCTCCGGGGCCCAGCACAGAGCGAAGCCTGCAGCCCCGGGGGCCAGAGCGGGCCCGGCACAGGGGGAAGCACGCACTGAGCCCTGCAAGGGGACGCGGAAGGGCCTCGGCAGCCGGGCAGGACGGCGAGCCGGGAGGTCGGGGCAGGGCCAGCACAAGGGGGCGTGGAGAGGGTCTCCTGATGAGGCCGACTTCCCGCTGGACGAAATGCCCTGTGTGCTGCCCTGTCCCCACCCACAATAAACACCGACAAGCAGCCAACCCCGGGGCCCCAGGACACAACCAGGGACCCCGTCAGACAGACACGCTGTACTCGTGCCCCTAAACAGGGACCCAATAGAAAAACTAAACAGACGCGTGGACAGAGGGGACACCAGTCAATAACAGCGAGGAGACCAGGGACGGGGAGGAGAAGGAGAGGAGGACCTTCAGAGACCACAGAAGGGACAGGCCAGCCCACCAGACCCCCAGCTCCGGCCCTTCCTCTGGAGAAGTCTGCCTTTGTCACTTTTGCAATGGACCTGCTTTTGCTGGCCACTCTGTGTCCATTCTTTGCTGAGCAGAGACTGGGAACCCAGCACCCTGCGGTGACCGCGCAGGCCCCAAGGCCTGAGGGCGGACTCCCTGCTGGGCCTCAGGAGCCGGGCAGTAGGCACATCTGAGAGAGCTAGTGGCCCCAGTGCCCACCCCAGCAGGCCGGTGACCTCTGAGCGCCTGAGGCCCCCTTCCCCTGCCCTCCCACGGGCGTCTCCTGACACCGCCCACGGCCACGCCCGGCCCTCGCGCCTTCAGAACAGATCTACGGGGTTCCTGAGCCATGGCCGCCCGCGTGTGACAGCTCCAACATCCGCGCGGGGTGGGGGGAAGGCACGCGCCCACAGACTTCCCGTCCCAGGACACACGCCTGAGCCACCCTGCGCTGGGCACTCGCGCCACCTTGCAGGAGTCCCTGGCTTGGGCGAAGCCCACAAAACAGAACCAGCCAAGTGTGTCCAGGATCCAGAGGAGTCCCCCGTCGACCCCACCACAGCCGACCCGCTGCGCGTGGCAGGGAGCGGTGACGGTGGCCGCGGCCGAGGGCTTACCTGCCTGGCCCTCCCTGGGCTTGCACTGCACCTCCTCCACGCACTCGGCCGGGAACCACCCAATGTGGCCGCGGGCGCTGCCTTCCCAGAAGCCACCTTCGCCGATGCTCAGAACTAGGGGACAAGGAGGGAGAGAGTCAGCCAGGGGACATGGGGTGACCTGCCAGGGACTTCTCCCCTGAGGACGCCAGGCTGGGCACGGAGATAGGGAGGGAGCCGGGAGGAGGCCCCAGAGCCTGGTCAGCGTCTCCAAGAGCAGGACAGAATCCGCAGTCGGAGGGGACAGGGCTGTGTGACGATCATGAGTGCCACCCCAAACCCGCAAGGACAGGCCCGGTGGAAAGGCCCACTGGGCCAGCACCGTCCCTGGGGCCCCGGCCTTGGCCTGCCACCAGGGAGCCCATCCATGAGGCTGCCGCGGGTGAGCGTGCGCGTCTCTTTCTGACTTTGGCAGGAAAACCCCACCTTTAGAGAGAAGGCAAGGAGCCACACAGTGGCCGTGTCCTCGGGGCCCACTGCACAGCTGGACAGACACAGCCGTCCCCGTCTCCAGGACGGTGAACAGCTCAGTGCAGGGTCCGACACTGCCACCCTGGGTGGGGTGCCAGGCACACAGTAGGTCCCCGGGCTGAAGGGATGAGGGTATCTGTCTTGAAGCCTCGCGGCTGAGCACAAGGGAGGGACACGGGTCCACAGGTGCCGGGGACCAGGGGGAGTCACGAGGACCCATGGCTCCCCACAGCCCCACTTGATGCTCTTCCAGGTGAAGGGCGGACTTGGGTGGCACGTTGGGGAGGGACCCCCACGCCCCCTCCTCTGCCCCACCCGGAACGCAGCTGCGCTGCCGGGCAGGGGTCTCCACAGGGGTCTTCTCTGACAGCACTCGGGGTGCGGAGCCCCGGCCTGCAGAGAGGGCTCGGGCAGCAAAGGCCCTTCCTGCCGCCTCAGTTTAACCCAAGGGCCAGATAAAGATCCATGCGGCCCCTGACTGTCGAAGGTCAACGCACAGAAAACCCGGGCTTTGCAGGATCTTGCCTCGTCATCTGAAGAGCGACCCACATGGAACAGACCACACACAGCTGACCCACGCGGCCAGAGCCGCCAGCCCAGCTTCCTCCCAGGACGGGGCCATCCCCTTGGGTTCCACGCAGCCCAGCTGCCTGACGCTGGGCAGAGCCCCGGGCAGCAGGGAGGGAGCACAGGCCTGTGAGGAGCCCCTTTCATCCTGCTGCTGAGGGACGGGCTGCGTAGGTCCCGCTGGGACCTTCCTGGATGGACCGGCCCTGCTGGCTGCACTCACCCCGCCACACGTGGGCAGCTGCTTCACCTCTCTGTGCCTCCGTTTCCTCGGTGGGGGGGGGGGGGGGGGGGGATAAGACTCCTGAGCTACCGCGCCGCTGTGGGTGCCGGGTGTGAGTGCCAGGCACGGCCAGGACCCCGCTGCTGGCTCTCTCCATGCTGTCCTCTCTGGGTGGACAGTGCGTGGGACCTTGGAGTTTCTGGCAGCTGAGGGTCCTCTTTGGGAGAGGGCGTGGGGTGGGTGGAGGGCAGCCTCGGGTCCTGTCCCGGCTCACACCCGCCCAGCGGTGGCCGTCCCAGCTTCACCTGCTGCTGGCAGCCACCTGAGTCCCGCACCCGGTGTGGCCCCTGCAGGTTCTGCACTCCCTGAGGTGGGGCTGTGGGGGGAGTTGGGTCCCTCACCAATCGCTGACTTAATTCACCCAAGTAACCCTTCTGTCCCTGCGAGGAGATGCAGAGGACAGAGGAGTCCTCTGTGGGGAACAAGGAAGGACGCTGGGCCAGGAGTCGGCGGGCCCTGGGGCCCGTTCTCTCTGTGGGGAACACAGGAGCCAGGCCCACTGAGCTCCAGGTGCCACCTCGCTCCCCGTGTTGCGGTGGGATGGTCCAGGGCGGCTGTGCCCTGAGCCCTGGCTGCTGACCGCACTGCGGAGGAGCGGGGGGGGGGCACTGACAGCACAGTGGTGAGGGGCCGGTGTGTGGCACGAGAGCTCTGCCTCCGGGTGGGGCGTGTGCAGCACGTCCAGGGCCCTGGGAGCCTGCGAGAGGGAGGACCGTCCACATACGCCTCTGTCCCCACAGACGATGCTGCAGGGCGTCCGAGGAACGGATGGGGCACTGCTCGCTGTCTTCAGGGCCAGCGTGCCCTGCTACCACGCCCAGCACCCTGGTGGGCCTCTCCCTCCAGGACCCTCCAGCCTCCCTGGGCAGCTGGAAACCAGACACTCCCTGTATGACCAGCTGGGTGGCCGAGGGCGGGGCTCTCCACCTGCCACACCGGTGCCCTACGCCCTGTCCACTCCGTCTGGGACAGAAAGCAGCCATGGAGGAGCGGGGAGGACCCGGGGGCCACCTCCCACACTCTGCCCTGTCTCCTGTTGGAATGGACCCTGGGGACGCCGGGATTTCCACACAGGTGCACTTTGAATTTACCCAGGATGTGCAGGGCCCTGGGGTCACAAGGACGGTGCCAGGAGGGGGTGACACAGAGGCGCTCTGTGGGGACGTCCCTTACACGGCACACTCCTGTCCTGAGGCCTCTCCTCTTGCTCCACACGCTCCTGCCCCTGCCCCAGGCCATGCCCAGCTCTTCCAGGGGCTGCCCTTCAGCCTAAGCCCCAAACTGGGCCCTGGCTCTCCCACCGGGCTCCACCCACATGTGCAGCTGTCCAGCAGGGGTCAGCTGCGCAGAATGACTGGCATGGACCCCCACAGACGAATCAGCAACCTGGGAACCAGAAACGTCACCAGCCTAGAAAGCAGTGCCACACACCTGTCCCCACGTGGACCTCCCCACCATCGTGCCACATTTATGGAGGCCACTAAGGCCCAAGGGACGTGGCTGGGCAGGGGTCACTGGGAAGGCCTGCAGGCTCCTTGTAGTCCTGCTTGACCAGAAGGCCCATGAGCCTGGCTTGATGTGGGAGGGGTCCTCTGGAGTGAAGGCCCAGGGCTGTGGCAGGGGCTCAGCTGACCGCAGAGCCTGGGCTGAGGGGTGGACCAGGTGGTGAAGGGGGTCCCGGGTTGGGCAGTGTCCACGGCAGAGGTGAGAGGCACGCCACATGTGTGCATAGCCTCCAGCCTCCCTGGCCTCCTGGGCAGTGGTGCGGCCCACGCGGCTGACCGGCTGGGCAAGCCGTGGTTCTCTGCAGGGTTATCCCTGGTGCTGACCGGATGACGGTGCTGGGAACCTGCCTGTCCCCACTGGTGGTGGCCACATCTGCTGTCACCTGAGAGGAGGGTGTGAGGGCATGGGCAGGGGGGACAGAGAGGTCCTTGAGGCTGGGCTTCTCTAGCCCCTGTGCCCTGCCGGCTCTGCTGTGGTCAGAGGAGCTCACAGAAGCCTCGTGAGCAACAGCCCTGCCAGTGGACAGGTGTGGGGCTCCCTTCTGCGCCCGATGTCCCCCTGCAACCTGCGAAGCCTGGTCATGAGAGGTCACAGAGGGTGGGTGCAGATGCGGACCCTGCGAGCTGACTCCCCACACGGTCCCTACCCCTGGGGATCACTAAAAGGGTCTAGTCCAAGGAAGCCCACGCCCCACTGCCCGGGACCTTCACGGAGCTCTCCCCTGGACCTGCAGGAGCACGGGGCTCTCCCCTGGACCTGCAGGAGCACGGGGCTCTCCCCGGGCAACTGCAGAAACAAGGGAAGACGCTTGTGGGATTGGAACAGCAGACTCTCCCCAGCTCAAGGACGTGGCTCCACAGGCTGATGGCCAGAAAGCAACGGAAAATTACTAGACACTTGAAGTAAGAGAAGGAACCATGTTCCCAAGGGGAGGAGAAGCTGCTGAGCCCAGACCCGACATGAACCTGACGTTGAGACCATCAGGTGCGGTTGGGGCAGTTAATGTGGCAATTATACCAATTGATAAAACAACACGTTTTCAATCAACAAAAAAATCCCACCAGAGTACCAGGAAGTCTTGGCAAATAAGAAAACAAGCATACAGATGGAAAACCCAGTGAACATGTGATTTCTGAAATTATAAAATTCACACGAGGGACGTCAGAGGAAAGAGTGAACTTGGAAGAGGAAGGAATAGACCTGTTGGACACTGTCGAGTGACCAGGCAGCTGTGAAGCGGGACCAGAGACAGGACGGGGCCCTGCCATCTCGAGACCCTTGCAGAAGCCCAGAGAAGTCAGACAAAGGCAGCGATGACCACCGTGGGCCAGGTGGCCCGGGCAGAGGGCAGGACTGGAGCTGGCCGACGGCACTGTCAGGAGCCCACTTTCAGCCCCTCCCCTGCGCTGCTGGAAGCCTGTCCAGGGCAGGGCCTGGGCATGCTGGGCACGCGTGGAGTCCCTCATGCTCCACTCAGTGAGTTCCCACTGGCCCCGTGTCCCCACGGTCCCCACGGTCCCCACTGCCCTTCTCTAGCCTCCCTGGGGCCTTGAGACCAACACGTGCCGCCTGTGCTCACCTTCCTGAAGCCTCCCAGATGACGGTGCCCCTGCAGGAGCATCGCTGGCTCCCCAGTGCCCTTGGAGACAGCCACCTCCCCGCCTGTCACCCTCGGCAGCCGAGGGGGGGCTTTCCAGGCAGTCCCAGGATTCTGCTGAGAATCCCTCTGACCAGGTGGACCTCTTCCTTTGAGGGCTGCAGACACCAGGCCTCGGCCACAGCTGGACCGTCCAGCTGGATGCTCAGGCCAGGGCCTGCCCAAGCCCACCTGCTCGGGGTCCTGGGGTTTTCTGGTGGGGGAGGCCCTGCCCTTTGCTGGCTCACCCCTGCAGGTGGGGTCTTCCCTCCAGCCCCGTTCCCCGCGCTGACCCCCCGGTCTCTGCTGCCACCCCAGTGGGTCCTCCAGGGGCTCGACGGAGGCTGAGGGGCGCCGGCCGGCCCTGCCCCAGACACTGACCTTTGACCCTGTCTCCACGGTGAAGGGGGATCTCGCCATCGACTTGGGGTTGGTATGGCTTCACGACGACGAAGAGTCTCCCAGGCACTGCGCTGTAGAGCTTCCGCTTGGGCCCCGGGTACTCGAAGGCCGAGAGGGAGTCCTTGCTGGCACCAGGAGCGAAAGGCGGCCTGGAGGGAACAAGAAGGGAGGGGAGACGAGGTCAGAAAGCCACGCTCCGCCGCCACGCCAGGCTGCCAGCCCCGCTCCACCGCCACGCCAGGCTGCCAGCGTCACCTGGACCCCACGAGGCTGCGGGCGACGGCGATGTGTATGGGCTGGGCGGCGAGCGTGAAGGCCCAAGCTGACCCAGCAACTCTGTGGGCGCATCCCAGGGCAGGAAAGGCAGGGCAGCAAGGGGATTCAGGCCCTCCCCGGCCCCCAGCAGCACAGCACACCCAGCGCACGGTGGCAGCCTCCCAGGTGTCCCTTGACGAACACTCTGGTCCTTCTACACAGGGGAGCATTATTCAGAACTAAAGGGACACTCTGACCCGCACTTCAACATGCATGGACCGAGGACACTGTGCTCAGCAGGAGAGGCCGGTCAGAGGCACTGCAGGGACCCCGGACAGGGCCGCCTGCTGTCACCAGGGTCGCCTGCTGTCACCAGGGCCACGCAGACAGCACTGCACAGGGCGCCAGCAGCTGGGGAGTCACATTTGGTGGACAGAGCCGCAGCCTGGGGAGGTGGGCACACCCAGGAGGCCGAGGTGGACGGTGCCCTGCAGGGTGAGCGCGCCCAGCGCCCTTGGACCGCGCACTTAAAAGTGATTAAGAGGGCAAACCTTATGTTCTGGATATTTTCCCACAATTGATAAAAGACTCAGGTGGCGGCAGCAGTGAAGGGGAGCCCTGGGTCCCACTGTGCCCGTCCGCGTGAGCGGCCGTCAGGGGGCGAGGAACGCCCAGGACCTCTAGGAATAGCAGCTATGTCCAGCTCCCGGCCCGGCTCCCCCGAGGAACCCGGATCTTCACTTGCTTTGTGTCTCTGATTTCACAGAGCGATCGGGTGAGGCCAGCCCCCACCTAGAGGTCCCCAGCGGTGGCCAGAGATGGGCAGGCAGAGGCACGGGGCCGGGGCCACCTGCAGAGCAGCTTTTTATCTCATCTTGCTCCCTCGACAGTGACCAGGACAGGCTGTCAACGGGATCGACCTTCTTCATTTAATGTGAACCCCGTGTGCCTCTCAACCTGTGCACACCCCGGAGTGCACCCTGAAATTCGCGGCAGGGTTTGGTTTGTGCCTCTGGAACGTCAGAGACGTGCCGCTGTGTTGCGGTTCGTCGTGGTCCCTGGTGGCTGCTCAGCGTCACGATTGTGGGATCCCGTCACGGGGACCCTGGCTGGTGTCTGGAGGAGCTCAATCTGCGTGTGCGTAATTGGGCTGTGGCCTGCTAACCCTAGTCCACGGTTCATACCATAGCGAGAGCGGAGGGGACTGGACGTAGGGTCCGCCTGCTCAGCCCCAAGGCCCAGATTTGTCCCTGACCCACATGAAGCTCCGAGCACAGGAAACCAGGCCACCCGGCCTCCTGTGGCCCAGGGGGCAGCCTAGAGGCTCACCTGGGTGCTGGGGACACTGGGCAGGTGCCCTGTGGCCTCCCCTGGGCTTTTCTCCCACTGAGTGACAGCTGCCGACCTAAGGGTTCAGAATCCTGCCACTGCCAAGCAGCCTTGGCGCAAGGTAGAGACGCAGGGTGGGGTGTGGCCTCAGTGCCACCTCCTCATTCAACCCCTGCTTGCCTGGACAGGGGCCTCCACCGTGGGGCCCTGTGGAGGTCACTGTCCTCGAGCACCCCAAGGGCTGTGTGGCAGTGACCCATGAGGAGCCCTTGGCTGCACCACGCCTGTCTGAAAGTGCTGCTGGGTAGCCATTGGCCCCCCCAGGAGGTGCCCACAGGGCTGGGCAGGGTGGAGACTGGCCCACCACGCTGGGGCCACCTGCCAACGTGGCCTTCATCCCCGGTGCCTGCTCCTCCCCGTGGTGATGGGACAAGGACAGAGCTCTCGCCTGTGCCTCCAGGCCTGGCTCCTCCCCGGCCCTGCTCTCCCCGTGGCAGCCCGAGAGCAGCCTGGATGAGCGGTGGCTGTCCCCTGAGTGTGGAGCACGGGGAGGCCAGGCCAGGGCACCCGGGGCCCAGCCCACGCAGAGAGATGGGTCTGCAGCTCCCCAGCCCTAACTGCCCGCGCTTCCTTGTGTCCTGGCCAAGAGCAGCAGCTGGAATTCCAGCCGTCGGAGGGCCAAGTCCCTGGGCTCCGAGTCTCCGAGAGCTGGCCCTGTGGAGTCGGGTGACTGGGATGAGGGAACTGGGCCACTTCCCAGCCACCCCGGGGCGTGGGGCGGCCTCCACACTGAACGTCTCCATTCACCCTGGGCCAGCTCACTGCTGCTGGGCTCAGCTGCAGGGCGGGACGGGCTCAGGGGCTCACAGGCGGGCGGGGAGCGGCACAGGCCAGAGGACGGAGGGTGCCCGAGGAGGCCTGGAGGCCGGGTCAGTGTGGAGGGGCAGGGCTGGTGGCCGATGGCCTGGCCCTGGGGCCTGCCGGTGCCTCCCAGGCTCCTCTCCTGCAGAGGAGGGAGGGAGGAGCTCGGGAACATGGCCGGTCACAGGCTCTGGCACAAAGGGTGGCGGGTCCAGCACAGAGGCCCCCGGCTGGGCTCAGCACCACCGGCTTCTCTGACGGCTGCAGTCCAGAAAGCTCAGAGCCCACCACCCCCGTCCCGCGGCAGGCTTCCCTCCCTGGCCTCCTTGGCCAGGCACTAGCTGGCCGCCGTGGAGCCTCTGTCCGGGTGCCAGCCAGGGCCACCCCTGGCTCCAGGCGGGGAGGTGCCCAGAGCCCCACCTGGGACCACAGGGGCTCACCAGCAGCCCCTCCCACGTCAGCCTCTCTGCTTGGCTCACGGGGCCCCTCTCCACCTCCGGGTGGTGGGTCCTCCACTCCCCGGGGAGGTCTGAACTGTGACCGTGTGACTCCACGGCCCCAGGTCCTCCAGGGTGTCAGCACCGGGCACGGCACACCTCCCTCACATCTGTGGTGGGCACGCACACCCTCCTGCATGCAGAAGGGGGCATAACTCAGGCTCAGGTGGCCACCTGTCAGAGAGCAGGGACCACAGACGGGGAGCCCGGAGGGCCACAGGTGTGGACTGCCATCCGTAGGTGCCCAGCAAGCGCCTGCTCCCCAGGTGTGCCCTCCACCTCCCTCGCCTGCTGGCCAGGCCTGATCCTGGGGCACCTTGCCCATGCCTATGCCTAGCCTCCCCAGTGAGGTGCCACGGTACCCTGGGGGCAGGTGACACACAGGGTGGCGGGAGAGCCAGACGTCGTACCCCACGCCTGCTCCAGCAGGGTCTGTGCCCCACTTTCTGGGTCAGGACTGGGCTGAGCGGGGGACACAGTGACCACCCTCATGGAGGAAATCTGGTCCCTGTTCCACTGAGAGTGGGCTTGCGTGTCCAGGTCCCCACCTCCCCAGGGAAGCAGATAGAGGGCAGGTAGGGCGGGCACAGAGCAGAGCCACAGGGCACCCCGGCCACCTTCACACCCACGCACCTGTCAAGATGGGGCTCTGTCCCTGGGGAGGGGTGCACAGGTCCCCAGAACCCTCCAGACCTGCTCCCACCCACACAGGAAGCAGGAAGAGTCCCTGCCGCCGGAAGCCCACGGCGACACCCAGGGGTTCCGTGGCCTCCGAGTGCCCTGCCCCTTACTGGGAAGTGTCATCTGGGGAGAATGTCCCTCCCCGGCACTGAGTGGGAAACTGGCCTCTGCCGGGGGCAGGAAGGCCAGGGGTGCTGCTGTCCCCTTCCTCAGGACCATCTTCCCATTTTGTCCCGAACGCCCAGAGGTGGACAGGGCTCGGGGAGGCCCATGGTTCCCACAGACACAGCCAGCGGGTGGCCAGCAAAACCAAGCTCTGCCTGCTGGCCTCATCCCAAGCCGTTGCTCCCTGCTGAGCCGAACCACCCGGGAGCAGATGTTTGATGAGAGGGTGGCCACAGTGTCCCCTGGGTGGGTGAGGCCAGAGCGGCCCTGGGGACCTGCTGCCCAGTCTCTGAAGAAAGACATGGAACCCATATGCTGCAGGTGACCCTGGCCACCCACCCTTGGTGACGGGGTGGGTGGACCCAGGTGTCTCCCAGGGGTTCTCAGGACTGGGGCCCAGTTGTGCCCCTGGGCACCAGTAGAGGGCGCCGCCTTGGGCTGGGTGAGTGCAGAGCCTGCGCCTGAGCAGGGGCAGGGACGGTGCCCCCGGTGCAGTGATTTCCACCCCTCTGCACCGGTGTCTGCGAGGACAGCGATACACAGGGACTGAGGCGGGGGAGACGGACGGTCAGGGGAAGGTGAGCGGGAGACGCAGGCGGAGCTGAGGACCAGGACGGGTGCAGGTGTCCCTCCCCCTCCTCCTTCTCCATGATGCCCAGCCACAGGCTCTGGGCTGGCCTGGCAGCAGGGGGCCGGGAGGGCCTGGATGTTCAAAGTGGGAGCCCTCAGCTCCCAGCAGGCCTGGGTGACACAGGGCCTGGACGCCAAGCCCCCGGAGCCCCTCCTGTTAGGACATGGTCAGGACAGCCCCCAGGGCTCCGTGAGGCCCCTGTCCTGCTTCCCTCCAGGGGCTGCTTCCCTTCTCTGCAGGAGGTCAGCTCCTCCCTGGGGTGGGGGTCCTGCCCAGCACAGGCCCTGGATGAGAGGGAGCAGGCCACTGGTGCCAGCAGGAGTCCAGGTGGGAGCCCTCACCCCACCCACCAGGGCTGCCCTGAGGCTTGGCCTGAGGCTGGGTCTGGTCCCCCTAGGCGCCCCTCAGCTGCCCGCGGTTTCTGTGTCTGGCGGCCAGGCAAGCAAGCTCAGTCCCGGGGAGGGGAACCGGGTGGCGCCTCCCCTGGGCTGTGAGCACACAGGGGACAGGTGGTGTGGGCTGCAGGGCCTGGCCAGGTCCCCTCCTTGCTCAGGATGCCGTCTCCCCACCAGCCTGGCCATCTCCGCTTCTCCTGCCTCTTGGCCCCAGCCAGCGTCCGCCCACCCCCACGGGACGCTGGACGGGGCGCAGGGGCTCCAGAGGCCGAGGACTCTTTCCATGCTGCCCACCCGCAGGCTCAGCAGAGCGGCCACGGGACTTCACTGCGACCAGGTCCAGGCTGCAGCATGTGACTGCTGTGCCACCCCATGACCCCTCCCCCCACGCACATGAGGTGGCACCAGGAGGCCACCGTGTCCGGGAACACTGAGGCACAGAGGCGGGTGACCTGCCCAAAGCTGGGGAAGCAGGGCTGGTGCTGGGCCCCCGAGGGAGGGACAAGGGCTTCTCCAAGCAACAGGGGGTCATAACCCTACCTCTTGGGCTCTGCTGGTGACCAGAACGGGCCCTGGAGCCCCAAGACCACCAGGAGCCCCAAGACCAACGTGCCCCTTCCCATGTCCCACTAGGCCTGCCCCGCTGGCCCTGTCTGCCCCAGGAGAGAGCTGGCGGGGCCCATGGGGGACGGGGCCCTGTGCTAAGCTTCAAGGACAATGGAGGAGCAGAGGGGTCACTGGGCTGGGATACCAGGCTGGGTGTCCTCCCGTCACCTGGGCCAGACTATGCCCTTCCCCTGCCTGTGTAGAGGTCAGCCCCTTCCCCAGGCACAGACCGGGGAGCCCCACCCTGGCCAGGCTGCTCCAGCCACGAGGCCCCAGCTCCAGCTGGCTGGAGGGACATTCTGACCCCAGCCTGGTCAGTGCACTGGCCCACACCCTGATGTCCATGCCCGGATGTCTGCAGACTCATGCACCTGGCTGTCCCTGTGCCCAGGTGGCCTCAGATTGCCACTCCATGGGTGAGTGAGCAGGGTGGCCAGATGTCCTCGGCACGCCCTTGCTGTGCACAGCCTCGGCCCCAGCACAGGGCACAGGGGACAGGGCGGCACCTGCAGCCCCACCCCATCCTGCCTCCCCAGCCCCCTCCCGCCTGTTGGGCAGTGCTACTGAAAGGCCCTGGCCAGGACAGGGGTTCAGGGAGGACAGGTGGACTGGTCGGTGCCCATGGCGGGGCTCCCCTGGGAGCACAGCTGCTGTCACCAACAAGGGGCTGGTCCTGGGCAGAGGGACAGGCAGACTCTGAGGGGGAGGACAGAGGAGGGGCCAGGCCAGGCAGGACTGGCTGGTCAGGGTGCCATCTCAAGGAAGGGTGACGGCCAGGCTGCAAAGACCTCCTGACTCAGGGCAGGCAGCAGGCCCATGGTTAGGGGACGGGCTATCCCGCCCACGTCAGGGAAACATGGCAAGTCGGTCACCCTTCCAACAGCTGTGGTGACCGGGGAAGGCCTGGCGGAGCCCTGGGCTTGCTAGACAGGATTCGGGCTCTCGGGCAGTGAGGATGGTGCACGTACAAGGCACTGCCCTTAGTGGCTCCCCAGGGGCCTTCCTTTAACCTGAGAACAACCTGAAGTCGGTCACTGTCTGATCCTCATTTCATAGTCCACAAAGACGAGGCACAGAGTAGGTAAGTAAGAGCCTGCAGTCACACAGCAACTGAGGTGTGGGTCAAAGGAACATGTCCAGGAGTCCAGGCGCTGATCATGAGAGTCAGGCTGGCTGCTGAGGGCCACACATGTGCACACACAGATGCACAGACGCAGCCGGATACACACACGCAGCCCTGTGTACACACAAGTGCATCACAATACACACCAGGACACATTTCACAAGCAAATAGGTACGCACACACAGATGCACACACACATGCACAGGGAGCACCCTACATGTGC